TCTTCGTAGCGCATTATATGACGTGTAATGATTGCCACGTGTATAATTTATGCGCCGCGAGCGCTCCAGCTCGTAGAAAGAGTATTAGGGGCGCGTTATGGATGGCATCAACGACGTTCCCATGAAAATAGGTCAAAGATAGATAGCGAATTGAGACATAGCACATTGAGAATAGTAGCAGCACTGAATTATTTCGGCATTGCGAATCGTTCTTTCGGAAGTAATACTCTTTGTATGGAACAGATATAAGTAGACACTTACATTTGTCTACATCAAGAATGAGCAACACATAACTAGAAAAAAATAATATAGTGGTTATCATACAGCCTAAAGCTTCATTCAGGACCACGCAATTAGCGGAATAAATTAGGTGAGGGGAGTTAGCAACTCATTGAAAGCAGGAATTATAAAATACGATCCTGCTTGGGCTGCTACAATACTGCTTTATCCTGCTTCAAATCCCAACCCAGCAACACCTACCTATTTTGAGCTATAGTTACTTCTATTTTAGTTGCTAACTTCCCAGTTGGCAACACATGGGAAGCAGGATCGCCAAAACTGTTTTTATAGTGTTGCTATGTGTGACGTCACCAATCAGACTTAAACTTGCCTATCTTAAAAACAGCAAGTGTTGCTGACATTTAGAGCAGGATGCATCAAGGGGTATAGCAGCGCAAGCAGGAACCAGTTTGGGCGATTCTGCTTCTCATGTTGCCAACACTGGGAAGTCAGCAACCAAAATAAAAGTAACTATAGCTGAAAATTGGTAGGTGTGGCTGGGTTGGGATTTGAAGCAGGATTGTAACAGCCCAAGCAGGATCGTATTTTATAATTCCTGCTTTCAATGAGTTGCTAATTTCCCCGATCTGAATAAATTAGTGTTTTCAATTAGCGTAGAAGTTTGTTCCTTTAATTTCAATGTACGCATTCAGAACGTCAAAATTAGTGGTAGATAGACAATTTCAATTAGTAGAAAGTTATGAAACTTTTGACTTTTCAACTAATCATACTTCAAAACTTGCGACAAATGTCATTTTTGCCTTTAATTATCTTACGTCAAGAGGAATTGTGGTTAGAAATCAAAAGTTGATTGTTTTATATTATTAGGCTTTCTTTAGGAATACAAGATACAACTCACTAACGCAAGCTGTTGCTAGGATATTCTATTAATTTTAATTGTGTTTTTTAAACATTGTGAATGATCGTAAACTAAAAAGTATGAAGTGTAATTGAAACCACTAATTTATTCCACTATTCTGAATTGTTTATTTTGTATTGGTTATGAATGAAGCTTAAAGGTCGATTTATAAACTCTACAGTTGGCTTTGGATTTGGCGTTGGCGTTGGAGTTGCCGTCGACCGTTCGTAGCGCCGCAAAATCGCATTTATAAACTCGACGGTTGACAGTTGGCTTTGGCCGTTTTGGGCAGATCTAACCTTACATTTTTGTTTACTTTTTACTTGAGAGTAGCAGAGTCTATAGGGCGTTTTTAGAGACGAAAGTGTTTAAAGTTTTGGTTTTTTGTTCGAGATTTTTAATTATGGATTTGGAAAGTAATGGTCTTGATGAAATTACCCTATTAGGGTTATTGGGAAAATTTGGAATTCCCATACTTCAAAACTAGATATAAACAAAGCATCACGTGATCCCTCTTTACTATTCTATTGGCTGTAACGTCATTTGCTACGTGGTGCTACGGACGGCGAACCGCCGCGAACGGTAAAAAGTTAAACATAATTCAAGTCCGACGGCAACCGGGCGCCAAAGCCAACGCCAACCGTGTTTATAAATGCTCTTATGGTAATATACAGTTTTAAGAATTGGGCGGCGGCGCCAACGCCAAAGCCAAATCCAACTGTGAGTTTATAAATCCTACTTAAAGCTTCATTCACAATCTCGCAATTAGACGAATAAATTAGTGGTTTCAATTATACTTTATACCTTTTAGTTTACGATCATTCACAGTGTTTAAAAACAATTAAAATTAATAGAATATTCTAGCAATCCATAGATCGTTATATTTAATCCTAATATTTAACTTATAAAACAACCAACTTTTGATTTCTAACCACAATTTCTCTTGACGGAAGATAACCAAAGCCCAAAATGACGTTTCTCGCAAATTTTGAAGTATAATTAGTTTTAGTTATTCATTGACAAAATTAAAGATATAAAATTGCATGAATGTGAAATTTTGGTCTCCTTTGATGTATCTTCGTTGTTCCCAAGTGTTCCAATTCCACATACTTTAGGCTACTTGAAGGAATTACTGAACGCAAATGGTCTCGACAACAAAACTGTGATTGAATATATTGAGCTTACATCGTTATGTATGAAACAAAATTGTTTTCAATGTAATAACAACTTTTTTGAACAGCGGGAAGGTACAGCAATGGGTAATCCATTGTCTCCATTTTTGGCTAATTTATTCATGAGCAGTTTGAAGTGGAGGCTAAAATCAGTTTGAGTATTTTCCAAGAGTATGGTTTAGGTATGTGGATGATATTTTTGCTGTTTTTGACACACATTCAGACACCATAGATAATTTTATTTCTAAGTTAAATAATCGTTTTCCTTCCATTAAATTTACGCATGAAATTGAGAACAACGACAGATTACCATTTCTAGATGTATTAGTTATTAGAAATACTAATAATTGCCTGGAATTTGATATCTAGAGGAAAAATACCACCACACGCAGATATACTCCTAATGAATCACATCATAGTGTTGAACATAAAATGGCTAGTTTAAATTTCTTAGGTCATAGATTACTTAGTTTCCCACTTTCCAACGAAAGATATGAAATAGAAAGAGATTACATTAGGAAGGTAGCTGAGTGTAATGGATATTCTCCTTCACTAGTTGATAAATTAATTAGAAAACGTAGGTATAGGTTAATGATTTCTGAAAATTCGACTTTTCAAGTGGAGAAAGATACGTCTAAATATTTTTCAATACCGTTTGATAGAGAGTTATTCCGTGGTCTAAAAGGAATTTTTAAGAATGTCAATTATAAACTTGTGTATAGTGCTAATAATAAATTACAACAATTATTAGGTAATCCAAAGGATAAAACACCTCCACTGGAAAGGTCGGGTATTTATGAAATTTCTTGTAAAGATTGTAAACAGAAATATGTTGGGCAAACTAGAAGATCAATATTAACTAGATTTAAAGAACATTTAGCTCAGATAAGATATGGTAGACCGGATAAATCTTGCGTTGCCGAACATATTGTTGATAAAGAACATTGTATAGATCTTAATATGAAAGCATCAGAATTAATAAATGTAAAGATAGTATGAACAGAGACAACGGTCCAATTCCTTCAAGTTCTTTGTTCCTACTACTCTAGTGGCGGAAATCTAACTGTTACGCTCAATGGGCTCTGACTCGGTTGGTTAGATTTTGCCACGCCCACTCGGTGCCCACTGAACGAGTATATAAACGCTCAACTTATAGATTGTACTTTAGTTTATAATCATCTGCTGATGATGCTAACATGGCTAGCGAAACGCGCGTCCAGTGTAAAAGTAAAAGTGTTTTGGTGTATTGTGGTGATTTAGTGTTTTTATTTTGCTGTGTAACACCAAAGGTTCCAACCCTCAACTGTAATATAATTAGTGGAAAAATTAAAAGTTTGTTAACTTTTTCCCCTAATTGAAAATTCCTACCATTAATTTTGACATTCTGAATGCTTACATTCAAATTAGAGGAACAAACTTCTATACGCTAATTGAAACCACTAATTGCGAGGATCTAATGAACCTTTACTTTTTCTTATCTTGAGCCTCTACCTCTAATTTCGAGAGCGATATTCGTGTGCAAAGAGTTAAGTGCAGTAGCAAATGCCATCAAATTTTGACTAAATATTAGTTTAACATAAACCAAACCATAACTTTCTTCTAATACGCCTATTTTCTAAATACCGGTTTGTTAGTTGATACACAAGGTAAAATAGTTAAACAATATTTCATTTGACTGAAAAATTCTAGCGCTTAATTCAATCAGAAAAATTTACGTTGTCAATAAATGTTGGTAGTTATTTAAATTGTTATAAAATATACAATTCTAATAAAATAGATAAGTTATAATAATTATTTATTAACACAAACATCCCATACGCTACGGAAGCAGGTAAGTCAAATTGACGTATCTAAATTCTTTGACATCTAATTAAATAAAAGCAAAAATGCACGAAAAAATATAAAATTAGTTAATTTTAACTGAATTTCATAAATAATCGGTTTACTACACGTATATATATTATATAGTCACTTACAAGCGAAAAGTTATTCCATTATTTCCCTCGATTTTTGACCGATATCTACTGCACGCTACACAACCATTTTAGATTCTTTTTATATAGATAAATCGCAATAGTGTCAAAGTTCTGCTACAATTTCATTCCAGATTTACTATTTTTAAACAACTATCAGTAGTAGAATAAATAATAAATAACATAAAATAAGCTCAGTAAATATTGACAAATCCACAATGTTTCAAATATGTCAAATGAATCGTCAAACAGAACTGTCAAGGATCCCTACCCTAGGGCCCTTTGTCCGCCTAGCTTGCATGAATACATGGATAGCAATATACTGCTTCCTTAATCTTTTTATTCAAAGTGTTAAATATACAAAAACATATTACTGCATGCGCTAATATTTGGACATTGTGTGATATTCAATTACAATTTATCATGTGTTTAGGATTTGGCACTCTAATTACTTAAAAATTTGGTAATTTAGTGTAAAGTTTCTTTTAAGTGTGAAGTCGGATCAAAACTTTTCGAATAAAAGAGACCTAAAGTTCACTAACCACATAGATAAATCTGATATTATGCTGGTTTCTGATATTGCAAAATTTTTCAGATTTGTACCATTAATATAAAAAATTTATAGGAGGGACTACATCTTCAATCATCAACACCATTCGTATTCCAATTATTTTCATAGAAACAAAACTAATGTTTGTGACTACCAATTCGACTTACCATTTTGCAGTAGTTTAGAATGTCCATTTTGTCTCTGAGACAGGCGGCTTTAGATCGAAGATCAGAGGTCCACTCGCCCTGCTCCGTCATGTATTTGGGCTGGTAGGCCTCTTGCCCTCTGGGTCCCGCATCGCACAGGATGGCTACTTGGGGCTCGAAATGGGCCACCGCGCCTCCCGAACTCAGGTTCGGATCTAAGCCCTGTAACAAGAGGTAATTTCAGTAAATTTTAACCATCAAAATTTCAAGTAGCAGTCAATTTCAATAGTATTTTTAACAAAAAACTTTTAAAAATCATATATTTTTGCGTATTTTCACAAAAAAATGTAATTCTGCAAAACGGTTTATTGATATTTAATGATTATTACTAAACGATATTAAATTCAAAATAAGTTTAGCGAGTTACGAATATAAAATAATTTATAGATCTGCACAAATTTTGTACAAAATAACTTGCGTAAACCGATTATAACCGAAACCAGGTTATTATTAGTATTTTAAACTTTTTAATACTATTTTTTTAGAGACTGTCTCAATACGAGTGCTTTTCAAATAAAACGCTATAATGCCAATTACGGAAATGGAAATGGTAGGATAAAATTAAAACCCTTTCCAAATTTTAATATTTATTTTAAAATGTCAATGGTTTTAAACATTTTCGAAATATTTGCGCTGTAGTTTGAGGATTTTAAAATAATTTCCAATTAAGTAGAGTTTGTAACCGGTAAAAACACGAAATTCCATTAGATTAAAATGTACACTTAATTAAATTTGGAGAGTCTATCAAAAATTGTACCCTAAAAGGTAAATAATTACCTTAAATTAAATATCCCTAAATTCAAATAATCAATATACGCGGCGAGTACATCAGGGGATGAAAAAATTAATTTGATTTATTTAGCTAGAAAATGCCATCCATCAAAAAAATTGCAATATATAATATGAAATAACTAAATTATTTAAAATAAATAAATATCCTAGTATATATCGTTGTTGAAAATAGAACGTTATGACCTTAGATCATACATTTACTCTTACTCTTTTTTCGACCGCTTTTATATAGCCAAGGATGCAAGTGTGTTTAGTGAGAAGTTGATTATAAGTTTGTGCAATTATATTTCTATTTTTTTTTTTCGTTGGACTTTCTAAATATTCGTAAAAATGACTCGAACGTGTTTGGTGTGTGGAAGTTCTAATATAAAGGTCTCCGAATTATCTTTTCATAGGCAAGTAAAGTATTCAGTACACATGCTACATAATATCTTTGACAGATCAAATCAATAAGTAAAAGCTTAAGCACAGAACCCTAGATCATATATACTTACGTGGATAAGTAAATCACTATGGAAACTGTCCCAAACATATCAACGACTTCCATTTATCTTCTTTTTTTGTTGCACACGCGGTGCTTCTACTCTATCTATCCTTGTCGAGGACCTATCGCCCACGCGCCAAATTTGAACATTAATTTTAAAAATTTAATTTGTAAAATGCATATATTTGAACAATAATTGAATGTTACTGTCACAAAAATTAAATTATATAAAAAATAAATTAGCCACTCCGTACGAATATCAATATTCTTAGGAAATCTAACAAGAAAGTATGCATGTGGTTTAATATACATAAAAGAAAAACTGAATACGTTACTTGCCTGTGAAAAGATAATTCGGGAATATTTATATTATAATTTCCACACACCAAACACTTTCTTGTCATTTTTACGAATATTTACCCAAAAATTAAAACCCAACGAATAAAAAATAGAAATATAATTGCACAAACTTATAATTAACATCTCACTGAACACACTTGCATCCTTGGCTATATGTATAAAAGGGGTCGATAAAAGAGTAATTAATACAATGTTTAAAATAAAAAACGCCAAAAACAAGCGTTGTTACACAGTGGAATAATAACATTATAACATATATGATTATGACAAAAGATTATGACAATATGATGACAATGAAAAGTTGGTTTCCATAACAATGTATAATTTGTACTTTCTAAACCGGATAAAATTGTAATTATTTTGGAAATACGTGCCACTTTTAATGCGCATGCGTAAAGTCAGGTCCTCTATTGAACGTTTCATAAGTGCAATAAAGAAGGTTTGAAAATGGCATGTCGTGATGTTGGGGACATATTTTTTAATGCTAATGTTATGGCGTTGATTTATCCACGTAAGTATATATATGATCTAGGCACAGAACATTACAACAAGAAAATATAATATAATATATTTTAGTTAACATTAGTTAAATAACGAGGAAACATTTACTTTACCTTTAATAACATTCTTTGTCACAAAACTTACAAAAAAAAACATTAATGCGTCTCGAACGGTAGTCTAAAAGCTATTACCTAACATCTATCATCTCTGTTCGTTGTCTGATTTCCCTCTCCCTCGTTTGTGTATAAATGTTTTAAAAATCAATAATTTTATTTATGTATACAGAGCGTCTCAAAAATGAATCTTTTGGATTAAAGAAATATGTTTATTTTTTAAATAAGCGGTTCATCTCAATATTGACGTGAGTGATAACAGCGATTAAACATCATTAAGGTACAATCAGGCTGAGAGAGTCGAGCGTCGCGTCGCTTTGTGTCGCGTCCGCATCGCCACGAAATGGAATCAATTCCCTTAACTTAAATTAGACCGTTCAGGCAGACAGCGTCGCGTTCGGCGTTGCACTAGCGTCCACTGAGCGTCAAGCGTCGAGTTCAATCTGAATAATTGTTTTTCGGCGAGATTTCTAGCGTTCAGTGGTTGTCATGGCGTCTGAGGACCAGCACGCAGAGGTGCTAATCGCCGAAATACAGGCAAGACCAGCACTGTGGAATGCAAAATTGCCTCAATATAAAAATATAAATCTGTATGACTGACTACTTGAAGAAACAGCTACAATTCTAGGTATTTCTAGTAAGTATTTTTTCACAGTACGAGTATATGTATATATGAGAGCTTTCGAAATTCAAGATATAAATGATAAAATTCTCCAAGCAGATATCGTCTTCTGTTTATAGGGTGAATTCCTACTTTTTGTCCATTCTTTTGAATGTAAAATGTGGTGTTTCCAATAGTAACATTAGACAAACTGCTCTCCTTGAAGCCATTTTACAAACCATAAAGAACAAGCTCAAATGACGCTGCGCTGACGCTCCCACCCTGAACGACCGAAAGCGACGCTAAAGCTGGGCGCGCACTGCATCAGATCGGACTGACCAGCAAAAGCGACTGCGACCATCGTACATATAGACGGCGCCGGCGTCCACTAAAACATTTCGGCCAGTAGAGGCCAGATTCCTACCTCTACCTATCTACGATAGTCGAGTCACCGCCTTCGCCGTTTCTCGCCGGACTGGTACCGATTCAGTGCGCGTGCACCTTAACACTACGCGACGCTCGACGCTCTCAGTCTGAATGTACCTTTACTTTACCATTTTATTGTTACTTACTTTATGACGTACTCAGCTACAGAATAGTAGAAAGATGGGTTAAACATTTGTTGTTTGTCTATCTAGTTTTACCTTTCTTTTAAGAAAAAAAAAACAACTGAAAGACCTAAAATAAAAATCCGACACAACAATGTAATAATAAAATTTCATTCATCTACTTCGAATCCTGTAAGGCAGCACCTTCCTTTTGATTCCACATCGATAATAAATTGAAACTAGAATTCGATTATATAGAGCTCTTTGAGAGTAAATAAAAATATTTTGAATCGTTCATATATTTGACTGTTTCAAACGAAGATATTTTTATCAGACGTGACTTTTATAGTTCCATTTTACTTCGAAAATACTCCGGAAAATAGATTTTTTAATGAAATGGAAATAAAAATATTAAAGAAGAAAAGTTTTAAAAGAAGATATTTTATAGGGATGCATTTTCACGCTAGTTTCTAAAAACTTTATCCGTAAGACAGTGATTTTCTTTTTTTTTTTATTTTTATTTTACTTCATTAGACATATTGGCTGGATTTTATTTCATAAACAAAAATTATATTGTACAGGGTGGCGCCTCTCATACGCCGCGGAAGCTCCAAGGAGAACGGTAGTTTATATCGAAATGAAATTTTGGCAGCATATGTAGGTTAACTGAAAGCATTTTATAAAAATATATAGAATTATACAGGGTGTCCCCAAAAAAAGTTACACATCAAAGTTGTGTTTTTTCTAATGGGACACCCTATATATTAATTGATTTTCGGATTCTAGGAAAAAAATAAAGGTGAGTTTTATTAAAGAAGCATATACCTAAAATCTAAAGATTTTGACATATTTCACATTTTGTGAAAATAAAGAGTAAATTTTAAATTTCGATAACAGCTACCTAAATTTTAGTTGATCCTGTATAGCCTGATATTTAATTACAGTAACCATTGTATGTTAAACCAAATTGAAATTTAACCCGAAAAGTTATACAGGTTAAGACAAAATTAATATGGAACATTAGTACTTTTAAAAGCAAGTTACTCCTTTATTTTAAATGGAACACCCAGTATATTTTTCCGGTGTTCAATGGGGAATTTATATATCTTCAAAATAGTATTAAGGTTGCCTACCCCTCAGACAAAGATTTTCACAGATATTTTAATTTTCATGATTTTGCGTCATCATATCTTTATTATTTGAAAAAATCTAGGTGGCTGTGTGATATACCTTTTATTAATTTAACAAAAATAAAAATTGTGGAGTAAAATACTCAAGGGTAATAAAAAAATACACGTTTAAAATATATTTTAATTATTACAGAATTAAAACTAGACATAAACCTATAATTATGCGACAAAAATTAGCTGGATGAAATCAAATGCTCAAAATGCTTCCTTTCCTATTAACTGCATAAAATGATTGTCTTTTCAAAATGATCTTTTCATTTTAAAGGCATTCATGTGGAGTTCTACCTGAAAAAGCAGCTACAATAATTTATCTCATGCTGTCGACACTAGTTGGTCGAGTTTTTTAAACACTGTCCTTAACATGTCCTCATAAAAAAACCAGACTAGATAAAATCAGGAGCATTTAACTATTCTATTAATTAGTGAATGCACACTGCATTCACCAACTCATAACAATCATATCAATTCTCTCTGATGTAGGATAAGTTTTTCGGCAAATTCCTGAGAATTTTTTTTTGTTTTAACTGACAAAAAATTATAACTAGTTATTAAAGTTGAACTAATTAGACAGCT